CCGCCGCTCCGGGCCCCGTCCTGCGCCTCCCGTTCCCAGCGCCGTGCTCGGGGCTGTCGCGGCGGCGGTCCCGTGCCCTTGGCTGGAGCTTGGGGGTCAGGGCGACACACCGGGCAGCTGGGACCCTTCTCCAGCTCCACTTCCCAAGGAAGGCTGCAGGGGAAGGGAGTCTGCTGTATCCTCTTCCCCTCTGTCGTAACACTTGAAATAGAGTTGAACACTGTGGAGAGCACTGGATAATTTTGAGCAGGCTTAATAGGATTAAAACTAGATGTGTCCTAACATTAGAGGATTAAGACAGGTACTTCCCACAGTTAGTCCCTAAGCGGTTTTCTTCCTGGACTTACATTTAAAAACATAAAATTACGCTCCTTTTTCACTGAGGCCTGACAGACAGCACCTTGTCTCATTTCAGCCCCCGAGGAGGATATACTTGTCAAAGGGAAGCAGTCCATCAAGAGTCAAGTTTTAGGAAACCAGAACTCAGAAAGCGAGATTCTCTTGGAAGGTGATGACGATATCATGTCATTCATGGAGGAAAGAGAAGTGGAGAACTTGACAGGTAACATCACCTATCTAATTTTCTCAGCTTTTTTACTGTTGAAGTTCTGATCTCCCCATCTCTGCAGTGAATCATGGTTTGGGATACACACTGATAATTAACACACTTCCCGTAACTGCTTCATTAAGATTATTTTCTGTTCACCTCAGATACTGAAGGTTTATTTGAGGAGAGTTGTGCGTTTTCTTTCTCAGCCTTTTTGCTTTTGCAGAAGATGTCTATTCTAGAAAACCTTCCTTATAGAAAATAGCTCCACCTTGAAAAGGGCTTCTTTTGTTTTCTTGACCTTGTTCCACTCAAATCATTAGGCCTAGTGGACAATTAGGCAAGCTGTCTATAATTTAGGGCTTTGGAGACCTTTAATTTTTTTCCTAAGTCTATAAAATTTTACATACTTGTTATTTACTTGCATGTAAAGGATTTTACTCACTGTGTTTAACTCCTTTAAACCCCTTGACATTCCTCCACTGAAGTTCTATCTCCACAGACCATGGTCTCATTAAGCCCTTTTGTTTGTTTGTTTTTGGTTTTTTTTTTTTTTTTCTGAAGAAATAGTACTTCAAATCATTCAACTTAATTAATTTTACATAATCAAATGCAGCCTTTGCTGATGTTGCAGTCTCAGAGGAGTGGGTCCATTTCTGTACAGTTCAAAATGTAAAACCGGCATAACCAGTGGTTCAAAGACTGGGAGTTATAGTGTCTCAATTGCTGTTTGAGGAACATGGGTTTTACAGGGAAAATGCAAACTTCTCTGTGTTCTTTTGCTTCTCATCTGGTATTCCATGTACACTTAATTTAGAAAAAAACATCGTTTATTGGATAATTCTGGTTCCCTGAGAAGCTGGTAGTATACTCTTACATTGATATGGATCATGCATATGATAATTCACTGAAAATGCTGGAAGTGATTATTTATTGGCATTTTTCTTATCCCTGAACTGCATTCCACTCTTTTTCATGAAAAAAAAAAAGCGCAAAGTTAAAAATGCAGCATAAGGAAAAAGAAAACCTGTATAGGAAGAGTAAAGTAAAATCATGGGAGAATGATACAAAGGAATTTCTCTATTGAATCTTTATTTTGAATATATGAATCTTTCATTTTTCCCTTTCTACCATGAGCTTCCTTCTCAACAGCCTTTTCCATGTTTCCTTCTATTATTCATTCATTGGTTTGAGTAATACATTCATACTGTAATAGAGGTGAAAGGGGAGTTTAATTATGTAATCTTGACAATGGCAATAGGATTAAGAAGTAATCCTCACTAATAAAGTGGTGTGGGTTAGAAATGAAGTGGAAATTGTCAGGGGTCTTCTACAGGACCTGGGCTGCCCCAGCTTCTGCATCTGTCTGCTTGCCCTGTAATTGAATGTCTGCGAGTGATTGAAAAAATGTTATTTCTCCTCTGGATTACATGCTAATGTACAGGGGGCAAAGGGAGACAGCAAAAGAACACATAGCTGCTTATTTCATCCATTTGTGTGGGTGAGCTTTGGGAAATCATGGCAGTTCCGCAGCTATCTCATGCCCATCTGCAGACACAATGTATTTGTACATTGGGAATAGAGGGCAAAGCTGCTCTGATCTCAGCAGAGCATCTCTTCTTTTGTCCTAGTGGCACACATTGAGATTGATGCGAGATTAAGGACCATCACCCTCCTAACAATCGATGGAAATGACAATTCATCTGAATTTTTTGTCAGTTATTCTCACGTTGATTACCTGAACGTGTGTACCTCATTTATAGATGCTTTATTAAAACAAAATTGTCTATGTCACTTTAATATCTTCCACTGTTTTACAAAAGTCAGATAATACTGCAGCCATGTAACTTCATTTCCTTGCCTCTTAATCAGCTGGATGACAAACCTAACCTGTTTTCTTTCTGTATGTGTTAGTTTATATAATGCTGAACCTACTGTTTTCAGTAGTAGTCTGATTTGTCGCTGTGATAAGCCCTGTGGAGAAGTGATTATTCCAATAAAAATTCATTCAGTTGGAAACCAACCCTCCAGCTGTTTACTCCCACAGTCCCCAAGCTACACTAACACTGTATGGAGTGCTTGGACAATATTTAATGTGGAATCAAAATCATCTTTAAAACATTTTACTTTGGGCTCTATAATATTGTGCAACCTTAACAGTAGATATCCAGAATTCATGAGGGAGCACTTTGCAGTTAGACAACTTTGAGCCTTGTCTGCTTGGTTCATCTTTGTGAAATGCTATCAAAACTTCCCAGCAACTAAAGAACACATCAAAGAGTAAGATTTCAACTGTTCATATGTGCACTCTCTATGTTTCATGTAACAGAACATGTGCAACTCTTGGGCTTTCTTGGACAGAAAACAGGTCTGAGTAAAAGCTGAAGGCTGCCATGCTAAAGCCAGCTCTGTAACGTATGCAGCAGTTTGCAATTGCATCTGCTTCAGTGTTCGGCAGCACAGAGACACTGCAAATCTGTTACATATGTTCTTTTCTGGGACAAAAAGGGGTTTGCTCTTTAAGGAAGAGCGGTGATCTTTGCTTTATTTTAATGTCCTTGGCCTGAAAAGCAAATAATTTGTACTAGCATTCTTTTCAGTTTGAACACTGTTGGTGTTTTCCTGCTTTGGCAGGTCCAGTGTCCCTCAGCACACCAGCTCAGCTTGTGGCACCGTCCGTGGTAGTGAAAGGCACCCTCTCCATCACTGTTTCTGAGCTCTACTTTGAGGTGGATGAAGAAGATCCTAGTTTTAAGAAAATCGACCCAAAGGTAAGAGATCATTGACCCTGAGGTCTGAGAGATGATGACAAATTACCCAAGACCTTTAATTCTTCACTTGACTTCCTTTACCTCTATTGGGCGAGAGTGTTTCTGCTTTAATAACTTTGCCACTGACCATATATGTTGCTGAACTTCACATAGGTGACACCTCCTTTCCTGCTCCTTTTTCTCCCTCTCCCATAATTCGACCCTACTTGAATGTTAATTAGATTGCTGCAAATAAAGCTCTAGGGAGACATGTCTGAAATAAAGACATCTTGAACCACAGGACTGTGTGAATATGGGGAAGTTCAGCGAGGCTTTTTAGCCCAAATACTTTGTTTTACTTTCCTGATTTTAGCAAATGTCAGTGTAAAACAGCACTGAACTTCCAACACTACTAAGTTTGCGGTGCTCCTGTCATATTACTCTATAACACATTTTACAGGGCCTGTTATTATTTATTGTGCCTAAGCATAAAACATAATTGCCGTTCTAAAAGATGTTTCTGAGCTGACTTGGTAATTTCCACAAACTTTATTTGCTCTGAGTTACTTGATTACTTGTGTTTTGGTTAAAACTAGTAACCTTTAGTAAAATGACAATTTCAAAGGGAGCATATAATGCAATTTGCTTAATAACGCTGCACTTGAATATTTTCTGCAGTGTTACAGCAACATTTCAAAAGTAGGACACAGCTGGTATATAGTCTCACAAGCATACTCATGGCTCTTGGTTTTTTGAATACCTACCTAATGTTAAACTGGGTAATAATTTCTTTGGGAAGAGTACTGCTCAAAGAAGTAGTGGTTTTCTGCTTGTCTGTAGAGAGAATACCTTGTGTGTTAAGCACCGGTTCAGTTCTTTGTTCCTATTGAGTAAATTGGTCTTGTCTGTATTAAAAATGGCATCGGTGGATCTGAAAGCTGGGATTATCAAATACTGTCAGGGAAAAAATTTATTTTGAAAAGCAGTGCCCTCAAATTGTTAGAGCTAGATTTTAGTATAAGCAATTAACTAGAATTGTGATTTTATGCGATATCATAAATGAGATTTAACTTTTCTTTCGATCCTGAATGATTTTTGAAATATATTATAAATTATTTTAAGTATGAGATAGTGGTTAAAATTTTTATTTGCTTACTCCTTCTATTATGTTTCACTAATCCCTCCACATATAACTAAAAAACACCATTTAATGATGAAAAGAATATAAATTTGAAATTAAAGCTAGTTTGATATGTTCCTGTATTGCATTTTCCATCTAAAATGTTCTGCTTTGTATTGTATTAGCATAAGAAAAGTCTTACAGATCTGCATTATTCTGCATTTTTGGTTTTCATGTTCAGCATGTAGGGTCTTTAAGTACAGTTGTTAATTCTTACCATTCTTGTTACTTGTTTTGTGGGAACACTGACATATATAGTTAACCTCCTTTTCTCCTGCTTCACAGTATTTGGTAGAGGTTGTTTTCTTAACTGTGAGCAGGCATTATGGTTTACTCTTTATCTAAGAGATTTTCTTAGAGTTCTTATAACAGGAGAGGTTGGTTACATGAAATACTGGCTGCACCTCTTACATTCTGCTTGCGATGTTACTTTAACTGGAGATCTTAAAATTAAAAAAACGACTTTTTATAATGTCTCAGGGGTGGGGGGAAGCTAAAAATCAGATCTTAATAATTTTATTTTAAAGACTAAGTAATCTTAAAACAGCATCTTTTCAAGCATTAACGCCTCCCTGCCCCACCCTGTGCCGAAGTCAATGTACCTTGATAGCGATGGCTAGCTGCTGTAGAAAATGTCCCTTGGAAAAAAAAAAACCTCAACAACTAATCCGCTGTAAACTCAGCAGGCCTGCTTAATTAATGAGGCTTCATCTGTTAGATAAATTTAAGAGCCCTGTATATTTGTCTAAACTACTGAAAAGAAAATATTGTGACAAGTTCCTGAAGTAAAACCTGCCTTAGGTAGCGATAGCATCGGCAGCGATATGATCAGAGTTTATAGGCGGCTCCGGGCTGTTTTGGGAAGGAATGGGTAGCCCCGCGGGCTGAGCCCGTTCTGCCGGCTGATCCGGGACCCAGCGCTGTGGGAAGCGCTCAGATGGCTCCACAAAAGACTTGTGGAGCTCAGCCGAGGGTGGAGGGGCTGCGGACGGCGCGGCGGGGCCGGGGCCGGGGCCGGGCTGTGCCCGCTCCGCCGGGCAGGGTGCGCCGCGCACCCCGTTCCCTCGCCCCGGCTGCTGCCGCCATCGAGGATTTCGTTTTTAAACTTAAAGGCAAAAGCAGATCAAGTTATAATGGTTATTTCTTTCAGTCTCCGTCCAAAAAGAAACGAAAATAGTCTTTTGGGGCAAGAACTTGAGTTCTTTTTTTACCTCCCCCCTGCCTACGAAAGGATACGAAAAGTTGCTCGAAATGCTCCGAGCTGGCGTTGCAATCTTTGGGGCAGCTTCAGCGGGTAACGCTAACATTTTTAAATCTTACGAATGCGTTCCCGATAAAAATCTTGCCAGTATTTCTCAGTCGTCCCGAGCAAGCTTAAAGCGGAAATTACTACGGGGAATCAGGCAGAGCTTCGCTTTGGGAGAGGGGAAGGAGATCGGCAGAGAGCGCCCGGGTGCTGGTGTAGGATCGGGTGGTTTCCTGACGGGCTCCTGCTTATCTCCCCTCTGACTAATCTGCAGTGCGATTTTATGCTGTACTTAAAAATCTGGGCAAAAACAAATGTTTGTTTAAAAAAAATATCGACCGGTTGCTCTAAATCGCATTAATTATTCAGGCTAGATCTATACTTCTTCGTGTCAAAGTCAAATGGATAGCGTGTTCGCTCTGGGAAGCGAAAGCAAACAACGATGGGTTTTTAAAACAAAATGCAGAGCTCGAGATTTACTGGAGAAAATAAAAGCAAGGGATACCATAAGGAAAAAAAAAATAAAAGGAAAAAAACGACTGTAGGGTAGGAAAAGGCATGCTGTAATTCTGACTAAACTGTAGCGAGCTGCTGTGCGATGCTCCATATATTCCAAGATTTAGAACAGAACCTTAGAGTAATAGAAATATAGCAGATGTTGTCTCATGCTGAACTACAGAATATATAAAGATTTTTTTTCTTGGATGCACTTTTTCTTTTTAATGGAAACTAGAGGAGGTTTAGAAAACATCAGCCAATATGCTGAGCCGAGGCTTGGACTAGGTGTTGCGTTTAGCCTATCTTTACATCTCGTGGTTTAGGTAATTAAAAAAAAAATAAATCCTTCTGAGGTTCAGAAAGAATCTACTTGCCTGAATTTAAGAACCATTCACAAAAAGTCAACGTAAAGTTAAAGTAATTTTTTTTATTACTATTTGCAACAAGTCAGTTGTGGGGCACATAATCTGACCTTGGCACTGAAATACATTTAACATCAGTAAAACTTTTTTAAAGGGAGATTTGTACATATAGTTAAATAATTTTTTCACTTGGTGACAACATTCAGGCAAACAAGAGAGCATAAGAAAAGGACTATACATGGATTGGAAAATGTACCTTTCGGGTTTCGTTTTGAAGTTGCAAAAGTCCGATCGCTTCTTTTTGTGATCTTTTAAAAATTCACATTGGAGGACAGGAGGAGAGAGGCTCTTCCCTTCTTCCGTGCAAGGCGGTGAGAGTTTATGCCGGGAAAACCGTCGGCAAGTTTTTAAAGGCCGAACTGCAGGTGGGTGGGGGGGTGGCGGGGGCTCGTGTCTTTCGCCGCCTCTTTCCGTCGTCGTTCGCGTTAAATAAAAAGTTTTTTAGGCGCTGTTGTTGTTTACGGAGGGCGAGTTTTTGTGCGCGGGGGTGTTAACCCTATAGCTTGTCGAGGCTTTTGGGATTGGTGAGGATTTCTCTGGCTAGCCTCCAGGTCTGTTTGGCAGCGCTTTCCAGGGCCGAGTGGGGTTTGCCCTGAAAGAGGTCTAGGTTGGGCAGGAAGTAGTGGGGGCAGCGCCGGCACTGCAGGCAGGAGATGAGCTGCAGGAGGATGCCGTTCAGCCGGTCGCCCAGGCACGCCTCGTCCCAGTCGGTCTCCCGCGGGTGCTTCTCGCACTCGTACAGCAGCAGCGTCTTCATGTGGTAGTTGTTGAGGGGCTGCCCGGGCAGCTCCAGGTGCCTGTCGCGGAGCGTCTTCAGCACCGACAGGCACTTGTTCCGGCAGCCGCCCATCAGCAGCCGGTTCTCGGCCTCGCCGAACTGCAGCACCCACGCGTCGCTCTCGGCCGAGCTCTGCTTGCCCGTCAGCGAGTAGCACTCCTGCGAGTAGCACTCCTTGGAGAGCAGGTTGAAGCCCTCCGCCTTCACCTCCGCCACCCGGTTGGGGCCGGGCCAGGGGATGTGGGGCATGGGCCACTGCGCCGCGCTGCGCGGCCAGATCCCGGTGCACTTGAAGGCGGGCGTGATCTGCACCACGTACCGCTCCCGGATGCGGAGCTTCACCTCGCTCGTGTCCGCGATCATCTTCACCACGTCTCGGTAGCTGCACTTGTCCACGGCCTGGGCCACCAGCGTCTGGAATCGGGAGCGGATCTTGCGGGCGGACAGGTAGCCCGAGGCGGTGATGAACTCCACCCAGAGGGACATGCTGCGCTTGCGGCCGTCGCTCAGCTTGAGCACGGCGCAGCCCGGCAGGGAGCCGTCGTCCACGAAGTTGAAGACGCCCATCTGGTTGAGGTAGAGCACCACCTCGAACTCGGTGGGCGAGATCACCTCCAGCCCCTCGTAGCGGGCGTCGATCTCGCTTAGGGAGCTGATGAAGCGCGGTTCCTGCACCTCCACCTCCTTCAGCACGTCCGACACGACCTTGCACACCTCCCGGATGGTCTTGGCGATGGCCGCCTTGCGCGCCTGGCAGCGCTCCGTGTAGTATTTGTTGAGCTGGTAGACCAGCTTGGCCTGCGCGGCGATCATGTTGGGGCACAGGTCCGGGCTGTACACCGGGCTCTCGCAGTACGTTGAGGGATCCAATGCTTTAGCGGTGGCTGCAGCTTTGCGGAGGGCACCAGCCAAATCGCAGACCCCCACCGCCTCCGGGAAGAAGGCGGCAGCGGCGCGCCAGTGAGAGAAATTAAAGAAATCGGGGAGGGCGGCGAAGCACAAAGGAGCGAAGCCCAGCGCTGCCCCGGCGACGAGGAGGAGCGGGACGGTGCGGGCTGGGCGGCGGTGCTGGTGATGCTGGAGCCGGTGCCGGAGCGGCGGGCAGTCCCCGCGGGCTCCCGGAGCGCCAAGTTTTGGATGGCGATGGGGGCAGGGAAGTCTGGGCTGCCTCTGCGCTCAGGCGCCCACCCCCCCGCGCAGCGACAAAAATGCCGTTTCAATAGTTCATGGAAAAAAAAGCACCCAAAACAGCAAACAAACTTTCCCAGGACTCGCAGAAGGTCCCCGCAGAAAAGCCGGTCGGCGGCGAAGTTTAAAACCGCACACGGTACGAGAGGAGGAGAAGAATGCGAGCAATGCCCTCAGCGGAAGAGTGAACTCTGTGTCTGTCTGTCTGTCTGCCTCTCTCTCTCTCTCTTTCAGTCCGTGGCACCGCCAGAGATGTGCATGCGTTTGGCTGCCGCTCTCAGACTGTCAGGGGGTGTTGTTGATTTCCCTTTTCCTGCTGGAGGCGTTGGCTGAACCCGGCTCTGTGGCTGTCTCTATCTTTACGCGCAGACGGGTGCACTTGGTCTGTGATCTCTCATTCCCGTCCTGCAGGTCTACATAGATTGTTGTGAGAGAGACTCTATGGAGAGGAGTTGTTGGTTTTTTTGTTTGTTTGTTTGTTTTCTTTGCACAGACTGTGTTTTATCCTGAGCGGGAAGAGGGCGTAGCTGCCGTGCCCGGGATGGCTTCTCCTCCCCCTCCCCACCCC